CAACATAGAGCCAGGGATTTAGCTCAGTGGTTTTGCTGCCTGCTGCACAAGTGCAAGGACCCAAGTTCGATGCCCGGTACAAAAAGAAAAAAAGAATGACCAAAATATGTTTATAGCAGCACAGTTTATAATAGCTAAATCTTGGAAACGCCCCAAATGCCCATCAACTAGTGACTGGATAAAGATGTGGTTTTTTTATAAAATGGAGTACTACTCAGCCATAAAGAACAAGAAACTAGACATTTATAGCTAAATGGATGCACATTGAGGCCATACTCTTAGCAAGACCCTGTATCAAAAAGAAAGGGAAAAGCCTGAGTAGGTAGTTCAGTGCAGAAATCCTGTGTTCAATCCCCAATAGCAAACACACACACACACACACACACACACACACACACACACACGCAAATTGAAAAAGGTTTTGTTTATATATTAACTGTAGCCCAAGATAATTCCTCTTCACTCAACATGGTCCAGGCAACCCAAGCATGTCCAACCTGGAGACTATAGGCCAGAAGTGCTTGGCCTATACAATGGAATTGAATTCGGTCTCGAAAAAGAAAATCCCACCATTAGCAACAACATAAATACCGATGGAGGACATTATGGTAAGTAAAATAAGTCAGGTGCAAAGACAAAGATTGTTTTTAGTCACTTTTCTCATTGCTGAGACAAAATACTCAACACCTAAAGTTAAAAGAGAGGTTTATTTTGGTGTACAGTTTGTAGAAATTTCAGTCCAGTCATCTGGCTCCAAGGCAAGGTGGCAGGGCAGAGGAGCATCACAGAGGAGAAACAGTCCATGGCAGGGCAGCGCAGGACAGGCAGAAGACAGTAGAGCAGTGAATTAGCAAAGCAGCAGCTCCAGCAGCCTCTCCTTTTGATCCCTTCCAGGCTACCCACCCTTTGGTGGTGCCACTCACACACAGGTGGGCCTTCCCATTATCTGCACCCAGAACCATGCTAACCCAATCATTGGACTAATTTAGTAATCACACCCTTAATTCTAGCATCACACACTAGATCCAGCCACCTCTGAAAAAGCCCCACCTATGACTGCATGAGGCTGGGTGGGGAGTGGGGAGTGTCTAGACACAAGCCATAACAGACTGCATGCTCTCACTCACATGTGAAATCTAAAACAAAGTCCTACTCATAAAGGGGTTGATGGAGGTTGGAGAGAGAAGAGGGAAATGCTAATCACAGGGTACAAAGTTTCGGTTAGGTAAGAGGAGTTTTAGGGATCTAGTGTACAGTATGGTGACCGCAGGTAATAACAAGGTATTACAGACATCAACATTGCTAGAAGAAATCTTACTGTACCACAGAGAAGTAGGTAAGGTGATGGATAGTTAATTAGTTTGATTCAATTATTCCACAAGTATTCAAGTATCACAGCATCACACCATACCCCATAAATATATACAACTTGCCAACTTTAAATGTATGTACTTTTTTAAAGGAATAACCAGCTGGACTATAAAGCAAACTTTATGTGAATACTGTCGTTGTCCACATTTCATCCTCTACTGACCTGAGACCAAAAAGCTAACCAAAAATGTCCAAGAGTGAAAGCAGGAAAAAAGTAGATTCCTGCTCTGAACCACCTGAACTTACCCGACTTCTACCTTCCCAGATAATTTTAATAATAGTAGGCACGCCAAGCAGGTGAGAAGGTGGATGAAACCAGGGTTACTTTCCCTACCGGGTCAATGCACCTGTGCCAGATGAAAGGCAAGTCGTGCCCTGCTTACACTGGGTGGGTTCCCCTATTCCTCCCAGGCTACCAGGAGAACAGTGTAGTGTGAAACACTCTTTTCTTCTCCAGGACAATGGTGGAAGCACTGTATGGGAGCCATGAGCGGTTCTTCAGCAGAAAACCTTGGCAGTGTGAACCTCTCTGCCCAGACTCCCCAGGTACGGTCATGCTGCTCCCTCTCACCTTCTGAAAGGGCCAGTCCCATCCGGGCAGAGGATTGTGCTACAAAAACATCTGCAGGGTGTGTCGGAGGCAAGCACAGCTCCCATTCCCCACTACAACCTGCACTTTACAGAGGCCCGGAGACTCAAAAAACTTAAATATCTGAGTTTATAGTAACACTACTGAAGTCCATCTTTTCCATCAACATTTCAAAATTTACAACTGAAAAACTATGTATGTTAACTATTATCAAATGTGTGCAAATAACTAAATACTAAGAACAGGGGCCGGGGATTTAGCTCAGTGGTTCCGGCGCCTGCCTCGCAAGCACAAGGTCCCGAGTTCGATCCCCAGTACCAAAAACAAAACAAAACAAAACTAAATACTAAGAACAATAGGCACTTTTCTTCTAGACAACTACATCAACATTCACTGCTATATTACACAGTAATGTTGTTATAACAACTTTGAAACTACGTGTTATTAATTTGGGCTTAAATGAGTAAGTCAGTACCTAAAACAACTGGAATCTTATGTCTTTCATTTCTGGTCTTGAAATAAAAAGCTCGTAAACATATTACACATGTATCAGCTTTAACCAAACACAACTTTGTTCTCCTGGGAAGGCAGCCTCTGCTTTTGCTAGTTACAATTTTTAGATGCTTAATTAGGTAATGTTGCATTGGCTGACAAAAATCTTGGCAGCTGATGTGATCATTTGAATGGAAGGAAAAAATGCACAAGAACTCCAGAGGAAAAACTGGAGAAGTACTAGATCAAAAAGTCAGAAAAACAGAAACTACTCTAGATTTCCCTAGGTTTGAAAAAATGTCCTCAGCTTGCCTGGCTGGCCTCACTAAACCCCTTCTCCTGAAATGAAACCTAAATACATCATTGTCACTGCTATCTTCACAATCACTGAAGCTGTTTTTGAGATACAAATGGAAAGAAATTTACCATTGCTGTATCCAGTTTTTCTGTCCTAATCAAAAAAAATAAAAATTTTTTTTCAAAAAAGACACACGCTGAGGAGCAAAGAAAAGCTGTAAGAGGCCATCTAAGTTGTATGCACTGCTTTCCAGCACAAAACTGCCTGCTTTTTAAATTTAAATATAAAAATGTTTTCCAACTTAAAACCAACAGTGCTTCTCAAAGTTTAACACTAAGTACAAATGGCACAAGACTCCTTTAAAATTAATTTTCAAAATTCCTTTCATAACTAGAACAACTCACTTGGGGATATCTGATTTTCTTCACCTAATTAAGATGTGGATGCAGTGAAATAACTAACACAGTAACTGTGTTGTTTGGTTCCTCTTTTCCTTTTAGAAATCACTAGGAGAGGTGAAACCAGCAGCAAACTAGAAAACATATACCAAAGAGTCTGAAATAACCCCCGGAAAAAGCTCTTTGACATCACTATCTATACAACAAAAGCTAATCTGGAATTTAAGCTGTTTTAAATTTTGGGTAATTTCAAACTTTCTTTTCAATCTTTCATCTTTCACAATGTGGTAGAAATGAAACATCGATTTTATTTTCTTTAGAAGGAAAATTTGCTAAGGACTAAAGCTTCAAGTTCATTTGATCAGTAATACACACCTTACCAACGCCCTCTCTAGGAGCTGGGAACATGTGGATAAGCAACTCTTCTGGAGCACCTTCATGTGAACTTGTAATTATAAAAAAGTTGCTATATGAGATACCAAAAGCAACCTTCGCAGAAACTAAAAACGAAGGTTCAACATTGAACTTTCTTTAAGTCTTACAATTAAGTCAGATAACCTCAATGTGCAAAATGAGTTTGAAAATGGCAGGCCGGGGTTTTAGCTCAGTGGTTCCGCCACCTGGCCTGCAAGCTCAAGTTCTCGAGTTCGATCCCCGGTACCAAAAAAAAAAAGAAAAAGAAAAATGGTAACGTAAACAAAACTCAGTAGTGTGAGGGTAACAAAATCTTTTAACAAAGTCAAGTGAAGTAAAAATCACTATGACAAAAGCATATTATCACATCCAACTAAGGAAGTTCAACTATGAAATGACAAGCTGATACAAGGGCAGACGCTAAAAAAACAATGTCCTACCCCTTCTAAGGAGCCTTCAGGGTTTTGTAGTCTTCACTTACCTGTAATACTTCCTCACCCACATCAAACTATCTTCGTTTTTTTCAATCCAGGACAGTACTACTTCAACCTCTATAAATTCCTATATGTCTAACTTCAATTAAATAAACTTGACACATAACCTTCTCTCACAAATTTGATGCTTTCTACATTTTTCCCCTGAGAAACCTACAGCAAGAGACTGTCCTAGAAAAAGGGAACCTCCCTGGGTTTAAATGCTTTCACACAAGCTGCTGTCTAGGAGCCCGGTACAACCCGCATAAGGAACTAAGGCCAAGCACGCAAGTAACAGATACACGAGGCAAGCTTTAAATAGAGAACTGTCTACAAACACATCCGCCCGCTGTTCCCGAGAAAAGCAAAGCTACATTTCTGGATCCAACGCACTACGTTGGGAATAACGAAAAGGGGTAAAAAATTCCCAGAAGGATCCCATTGAAAGACCAAAAAACCGTATTTAGGACAAAACGTCGCGCGGCATATAAAAGACGCCTCACCGATGCTGTCTGCTCCCCAAAGGAGACACAGGTTCCTGGGAATGCTGACCTAAACGTTAAGCGTCACAGATCCAGTAAAACTGGCGAATTTCTGGCCTGCAGCAGCAGCAGCAGCAGCAGCAGAGGAAGGAGGGAGGCCGGGAGGGTTTCTGGTCTACTACAGCTCAGCCTGGCCCTGCCCGGTCACCTGCTGAGGACCGAGCCGAACCTGGACGCGGCTCCTGGCGGAGACTAGGCCCGGGCAGGTGTGCAGAACTCGACACATGGTGGTTACAAGCGCCGGGCACCAGTCCTCGCGTGGGTTCCACCCGCCCCGCGCCCCGCGGGGACCCGACGCTCCGCGAGCCGGCGGCCGGGGCGGGGCGCGGGGCGCTGAACCCGGGACCCCGCCAGGCTGCCCCCGGCCCCACTCCCGGCGCCCCGCCCCGCCCGACTCCACGCCCGCCGCGGCCGCTCGCTCACCTCCAGGCGCAGGGAGGCCCCGCAGGCGCGCAGGAACTCGCGGATGTTGCTCAGGCACTCGCTCTCGCTCCGCGGCTCCGGGTAGACCTGCAACAAAGAGCGCAGGCGCTTAGCGCGGCTGCGGCCAGGCCGCACCGGCCCGGAGCAACCCCGCCGCCCGCCCGCCGCTCGCCCGCCGCTCGCCCGCCACTTCTCCTCACCCTTTTCCTTCCTCCGGGCTGCACCAATCTCGGCCCCTTCCCGCACCCGGAAGTGGTCCCAGCGCCGGAAGTGACGTCTAGGACCGCCCCCGCCCCCCGCTCGTGCCGCGGCCTCTTCCGTTGGTGGTGGTTCTCGTCCGCGGACGCTGCTCACGGGGTCCAAGTTCTCCGCCCGGCCGCCCCTGCCCACCCGGCCCCTTCTCGTCCTCCTCCCGCGCCTGGGCCGCGTCTTCGCCCGAGCGGACGCAGCCCGGCCAGAGGAAGCCCAGAGAGCTCGGGCTCGGGGGTTCAACGATCTCAGAAGGGACCGAGGACTTGCGTTCTTTCTCACCTAGAGCGTGGAGGGTGCAGATCTTATTCTGATGCTGTAACTTAAGAGAACTGGCAACATAAATTGTTCATGTGGGGACTAAGATGCACTGTTTTCTTTGTCCAGATACAGGCCTTGTGCTTGACGAACAGTTAACTGGAAGTCACAGCCCACAGCCAGCTGAGGGGACTGCGAGGAGCCTGGACCTCTGCGGAGCTGAGCGGAGGCTCCGGGACTGCCTGGGGCTACGGCCCCGACCCACGTGATTGGTGAGGTGACCCACCCCCTGGCCGGAAACTGAGGAAACCGAGAACAGCCAGTGCCTGCCGCAGTCTAAGGAGAAGCCTTGAGACTTCATGAACACCTCTTACTTTGAAATCTAAGGAGATTTAACCTGATAAAGAAGAAAAATTGTTCTGAACTGCATAAGAAGAATTAAGCGTTGGCATTTGCACTAAATCATCACTTAGAATTCTAGCACTGAGCACACTCAAGGCAGTTTTTGTCCTGTCTTTAAGGAAAGGTCATGCACGGCATTGCATCAGGCTGCTCTCAGGAATACTGTGGTTTGGGTCTTTCAAATTACATATCAAAGCCAAGGTGTTCAGCGGTGCCAAGAGAGATGAAGCTTTTTTCCCCTACAAATGAAAAATTCTTAGGAGAAAGTGCTGACATGTTTCCCTCCAAGTTGAACAGAATTGATTTTTTTTCAGTGAAACTTAAAAGTAGAAGAGCAAAACCAAAGCTGCCTCCTAGTCCATTTTGCTCCTCTCCTTCCTAGAATTTCTTTAAATTATGCACTACATATTAGTTAATACCTAAATTTTCATGTCATAATTTTAAATGGTTGCAAAAGGTGTCGTTTCTGGCATTCTATTAATAGCATTTAAGGTGTTACATCCTTTTTAAAAAAACATATCCACCAGCCAGGGATTTAGCTCAGTGTTTTCCGTTGCCTGCTGCGCAAGCGCAAGGACCCAAGTTAGATCCCCAGTACAAAAAAAAAAAAACCATATCCAATGTAATCCAAATACAATAGTTTTAATACTTGTCCTCCAACTAAAAAAATTATGAACAAATTCTTTAAAACTCAGGCATAAATTCTTTTCTCCTTTAACTCAATCCCAGTCTACTTGCCTCAGAGAATTAGTATCCTAATGAAATCTATTTTTACACTTAAAAGTTGCAGTCACATTATCTTTTTCACAAGAGGCCCATACAAATAACAGTCATCATGTACTGAGTCTATATTTGTAAACTCACCTACTTGCTAAAATTTATGTGTAACCCAAAGTAAATACTCCTGGCACAGTCCCAGTCCTATATTGACAAGTACAGAGCAGTAAAGCTCTTGAATCACTGCACATTCCCGGGGGTATTGAACAAGGCGATGCTCTTGTTTTCTTGTTTTATTTCTCAAACTAAATAGATGTCCTCTCCATCTATTTAGTGCTTTTTTTTTTTTACTTTTCTTTTAATTGATGATTTTAAATGTTTTAAATGGCCTCCAAACGTAATGCTAAAGTACCATTTAGCGTTCCTAAGCACAAGAAGGTTGTGATGCGTCCTACAGAAAAAATCTGTGTGTTAGACAAGCTTCGCTCAGGCATGAGTTACAGTGCTGTTGGCCGAGAGTTCAAGGTTAATGAGTCCACAATGTGGTACATCCAGAAAAAGGAAGTGGAGATCCGCCAGTCTGTGCACAATGCCGCTCCAGAAAGTGCTAATGTAACATCTGTGGTGCGTGATGAAGCCATGGAAAAGATGGAAAAATAGCTAAATTTGTGGATCCATGAGATGATGACCAATAAAAAAAGCATAGTGGACAGCATTGTGGTGAGGCTGAAAGACAAACTTACAGCCATGTAACCCAAGGTCAGGAGTGCGTTAAACCCTTTGCAGCTAGTGCAGGCTGGCTTGCATGTTTCAGAAGACGATACAACATGAAAAATTTTAAATTTTCAGTAGAAAATGGTTCTGCGGACCAGATAGCTGCAGAAGAGTTTTAAAAAATACCTGTTAAGTGTTATACATGAAAAGGGTTATTTTGAAGAGCAGGTTTTCAATGCAGATGAAACGAGTCTGTTTTACAAGAATGTCGGCAAACCTAGTAATGCAGATGGCTTCCAAAGCCCCTGGCTTTAAAGCTTTCAAAGACCGTGTAACATTACTCCTGTGCGCCAATGGAAGCCCCTAATGGTGTATAGAACCAGAAACCCCCACACACTTAAAGGAAAAAACCTCAACGGTATGCCAGTTCACTGGAGGTGGAACAAAAAAGCATGGATGGTGTCTTAAGATATTCTGGGATTGGTTCCATCCAGAGGATGAACGCTATCTCCAGGGCAAAAGTTGATTACCTTCAGAGTTTTGTTAATCTTGGATAATGCTCCGGTTCATTGCCATGAAGAACTTGAAAATCCCCACCCCAACACAGAAGTTCTTTTATGCCCCCCAAATACTACATCTCTTATCCAGCCTCTCAATCGGCATAATAAAAGCTTTCAAGGCAAATCACATGAAAGCACTGTACAGCTGAGCTTGCCAAGTTTTGATGCCAGCAAGGAAGCCACTATGATGGACTATTGGAAGTCAGTCACTATAAGCAACTCTATTGATAATGTTGGCACAGGCTGGGACAACATCAAACAAGTTCTGATCCATAACTGTTGGGAAAATGGCCAGACGGTGTGAAAAATTTCGAAGGCTTTGTAGATGTTAACAGAAAACAGTGTCAAGAACATAATGCATATTACACAGCAAATCAGTGGAGAAGGTTTCAGCAGCCTGATGGAAGAAGATGTAGAGAAAATGTTGGCAAAGAAAGCAGTACAGCCAATCAATGACCCGGGTGAGATGGTGAAAGATGGCCTTGGAGTCAGTGACCAAAGTCAGGACAGTGATGACAGTCAGCCCAAGACTCCAAGAACTGTCCCTCTCACAGCAGCCAAAATACCCAAGTGGAACTTTGCCTTGGAAAAAATTTTCAGTGATATGGAAGAATGTGACCCTGTGCTTGAACAAAGCCTCACATTTAAGCACCTCACCTCCACCGCATTTGTCCCATATTCTGAGACTCTTACAGTTTGAGGCGAAGAGCCAGGCAGCCCAGGCTGAAGCAGTTTTTCCAGCCAACTTGAGAGGGAAAGCTGCAAAAGTCCTACAGTGGGACCGCCAGGTGCAGCATGCCACCCTCATTGACATCTTCCACTCTGCAGAATGAGCTCCACCAGCGTCTCCTCTGATCTTCATCGGGCACGAAGCCAGAGCTGCAGGAGCTTAGGCCACATGACACATCCTGCAGTCCATCCACAGTAAGATGTTAGCTAGCATTTTATAGAACTATAAATGCATACTCTGGTTCATGCTTTTTTCAGGACTTTATTTGCATTCCTGTAATACACAGTGTGTGTTCACAGGACTGTTTGCTGTTTATGAACATATTTTGTGTGTGTGCCTTGTGCATATGACTGAGTGAAAGAGGTCAGCTAGTGTAGTCATGGTATAGTATATTATATAATGCCATAATTGAAATAGTGTTTAATTATGAAGATACTGTCTATAATTATATCACAAAAATATATTACATTAACTGTCTCCAAACAAAGTCATGTATTCTGTCCAGACTCCCATAGGACCCTACTTTTATTTCCCTTAGGAATAATGTAGCCATGGACAGTTCAATATTTGAGGTAACTTTATAGACCATAACTGCCACAAATAATGAGAATCTGCATTTAAGATTATTGAGCCTCGAGAACCTTGTTGCTATGATCTGACTTAATACATCTGACTACCCATAACACAGCTGTCATGGGTACACAAATGACAGGAACTGTAAATATGCTACAGTTTCTGATCATTATTAAATACAAAGCCAAAAACTTCTTTGGAAATGTACATCTTGATTCTAAAAATGGGACTTTTAACAAATTAGTTCATTTACTGTGGGTGATTATCGCTTTTGCTAAAATGAGCTGTGGTCCAACCTCAGTTGTTTTCTGTCTGGGATTTTTTTTGGCGGGGGGGCCTACTGAGGATTGAACTCAGGTCCTTGCGCTGTGAGGCAGGTGGTAGAACCACTGAGCTCAGTCCCCGGCCCCTGGGATTTCTTTATACACATGCTGAGAAACCTTGTTCATACAGATAAGCACCTGGAAATAGGAGGAATTTGTGGTGTAGCTTCATCCTCTGAGGCCTGAGCTAGGGCTAGGTTGTATCTCAGTGGTGGGTGATGCTGTGCATGTGCAAGATGCTAGTTTAAGGCCTAGCGCTTCAAAATGACTAAAAATTCTGAAGCCTTCTGAGTTACATGACCACCATCTAGATGCTGCCTATCTCAGGTGGAAGACTGCCCCATCCATCGACACCTTGATCGGAGTCTCCTTCAGATTCCGTCCAAGCTAGAAGTGCAAACCCCAGAGTTGCAAAGTCCCCATCATTTGGATCACTGACTTCTCAACACCCTGGGTGTTTCCTGTTGTCCTGCTGTTATGCAGGTTCCCTGTAACTGCGGCAGTGTCCCTGAGCAAGCCAGCACACAGGTGAGTGGACGGTCTTTTGTGTGAGGAAGAAGG